ATTCTTCATCCTAAAAATTTAATAAATTCTCAAATTTTTTTTCCGTCAATGAGGGGCCCTGTCATAAAAACTTTTTTAAAAACTGGGTTTACATTTTTTTTTACCCTGGCACAAAAATTTAAACCCCAATTCCAGAGGAGTTCTTAAACCCTTTTTCACTCCGTGATGGGCAAATAGGGGACCAAAAATTTTTTGGCTTGCTCAGGAGGCCCCCTTTTCCCAAATAAATTATTTAAATTTTAATTGGTTCGGCAATTATATCTATGGCAGTTAGCAATTCGGGTGTCTTATTTTCAGCCCCCGCGGAGCTGACCCTTTAAAACTGCCATTCCTTTCCCTTAATTAGTGAGCAATTCTGGATGGTTCAGCCCTTTAAACCCCCAGTATTGCCAGATTCAAAAATTTTTCATCTCTCAGTATTTTCCTGAATAAAAAAAATCGATGGGGCTTTCTTTTATTTTTATTTTTCCAATGCTGTTTAATTCCCCACCCAATTTTTGCACTGGCTCAACACCATCCTTTTATGGAAGAATTATACTGTTTGGGAAAGATTTCATGGTAAGACACACATTTTTGGGATTTGTAGTTTTTTCTAGTCCCTAATTTTTATTAAAGAGGAATCCTACCCCTTTCATTTTCCTGGCCTCCTGCAGTCTTCAAAAGGGTGAAAACTCACCCCATTTTCCCCCCCCCCCTAACCCCCTTTACAAAGGGGGGGGGGGGAAGGGATTTAAAAGTCCCCCACCCCACAAAACCCTTTTTTTGGGGCCCAAAGAATTAAACACTTACCCCCGAAAAGGGCCCAATTTACATTATCTGAAAAAAAAAATCTTTCGGACCCTTTTACTGCCCTATTGCAGTATTTTCTCTGGAAATCTATCTACAATTCTGCATTAAACGTTTTTTTACTATTTGCCCCAAAAAAAAAAGTTTTCTATAAAAGTGTTTATACCCAAATTTAGCCCTTTTGTTTCCCAAAGAAAACCAGATAAATTTTTTGAGTTGTAGGATTTTCCCATCCCGTTTCTTTCTACCATTAAACCTTTTTCGTTTTTAAAGAAAGTCGCTGGGTCCCCGGTCTAATAAAGCAGTTTTCATTTTTTGATTTATGCCTTTTATCATAACTTTTACCGTAACACAGGTAAGGCTTTCTTCAGCAAAACCTCCCTTATTTTAAAATTTTTGCGGGGAATTTTTTCAAATTTGCCATGTTTGTGTCTGGATTGTAAAAATTATCATTAATTTAAACAACATTATTTTTATTTAACCCTTTTTAAAATTTACTTTTTTGGGGTCTTCCTTTTGTGACATTGATAACAGTTGTTTAAATTTTTTATGAAAAATCTTTTACCCTTGTGAATTTCCTAAATATCTTATACATAAAGTCAAATTCCCCCCAAATTTTCAACTTATCTTCAGAATTGTATGCATTGCAAAATTTTTAGGAAAAAAAAGGGGGCCCTTTCAAAAAGACAATCTTTTTTCTTTGAGGTTTTTATTAACTGGGCTACTCTTAGGAGGGGACTTATTCTTCTACCTTTGGAGAATCTATTTTTCTGATTCCCGCCCATTTTATATGCCCCTATGCAAAATCCTTTTTTGGGGAAAAAGAAAAATTTTATTATTAAATTGGGGTAATTTTTTCCCCTTTTTGAAACTTGACAGATACCCCAAGGGTTTTTATTTTGCATCTTTTTAAAAAATATTTGTTTGGGGGTCCAAAACTGAACAATTAAATTTTTGTAGACCTAGTCTTATTTCCTCCCGTCCAAAAAAACCCTTTTGATATTTTTTTCGAGACCCTTCAAAAAGTTTTAAAAGTTTTAAATTTTTTCTGTACCAAAACACTCCCCAAAAAAACCCGTTTTGAATCCTTTTAGATTTTATTTTTTAATTAAAATTTTTTAGAGTGCCCCTCCATTTAAAATCTAAAAAAGCTTTTAAACCTTTTTTTAAATGTGATCTGGGGATTTTTAAAATTTAAAAATGATATGCACTAAACCAACCTACTTTGTTCTATAAATTTCCATAAGTGATTTTTTCAAAAGCAAATGCTTTCCCCTTTAAGAGTCATTTCATTGGGGGAAAACTTGTAAAGAGTTTATGAGCATCTCCTCTTTACCCGTCCTTTTTGGGGAAAATTTAATTTTGTTACACGGCTAGATCACTCCAACATCCAACTGCCCTTTTAAAAAAAAAAACCAAAAAATCCTCCCCCCTTTTTTCCCCGAATTTAAAAAACAATAAAAAAATTCTGGGGTTTTTGGGAAAGTCATCTTATTTGTTGGGGCAGACTGATTAACTGCCCCTTTTTTCCCCAAATTTTTAAATTTTTTTCAAGGGCCCCCACTTTTTTCAAGAAAAAATCTTTACTTCCCAATTCGTTTAAAACTGATTTAAAACATGAGATCTACTTCATCCCCATCTTTCACAGTTTACTAACAAATCTCCTCCATATCTTTTTAATATTAAATTTTTATTTAATTTATATCTATTCCCCAAAGCATTAAATTTCAAATTTTTTTTCATCATATTCCCGTTTTTGATTCATTAATTCCAAACATTTTTTTATATTTTGTTAAAATGACCTTTTCTACTTTCAGGGATCTTTTTTTGCTTTTATATTCCAAATTTTTTGTCTTTATTTAAAAATTTCCCCATTTTCAGCCATGAAGCAATGTATTTTAATTCAACTTTTAAATTTAAATTAAACATGATTATGTACTAAAAATTTTGCCCTTTAAAAGGGGAAATTTGTACAACTTACCTTTGAATAAATCCTAGCTAAACTTTTAACTTTGCAATTACATGTAAGAAAATTATTTAAAATAAATTTTTAAAAAACATTAATAAATGTTTTGCTACACTTGAGCCCTTTTAATTTTTCACATGTAAGAAAATTATAATTTTAAAATTTTTAAAAAACATTAATACAAAAATTTGCCAGACTTGTAAATTTTCAAAAATTTAAAATTATACAAAAATTTAAAATTAAATTTTTGCCAGAAATTTTTCCCTTTGCTAAATTAATTTTTTACACAATATAATCTTTAGCCCCAAAATTGGGTTATCCAAATTAATATTGTAATTATTATAATCCACTTCACATTAAGTTCATTTGTGAACTTAAAAATCCACATCCTTTTCTTTCATATATAAATTTTTAAGGGAATTAACAATTAATACTTCACAAATTTTCATCCATTCAAGAAGGGCCAACGGGCCAAAAATTTAAAAGTGGAAAAAATTTCTTTTATCTGGATGTAACTCAAAAAGTACATACCAGTTTAAAAAACCAAAAATAATTATTTTTTTATCAACTTTCATAGACAAGAAGGAATTTGGGGAAAAAAAGGGTTTCAAAAAAAGTCCCCCTTCAATACCTACAACGCATATCCACAAGTTGCCCTAGGGCCCATTAATACAAATAAATAAGCATCACCGGGAATTCCCGGGAAATAAAAATTTTTGGATTTATATTAAAAAATTTAAAAAATGATTATATTTACAACCAAATTTTAAAAAACAGCAAGGGGAATTTTCTTTAAAATCCCCCCCAATTTGATGAGGATTTTAATTTTGCTTTATCCCCAAAAAAAACCCCCATTCTAGCCCAAAATTATTGGGAAAAATAATTCTTGGGCCCGGGAAATTTTAACCCCAAATCTAGATTTGGCCCTTTTCTGAGGTTCCCCCCGGAGCTGTTCCCCGTCCCCTCGTTTGATATCTCAAGTTATGGGGGAAGGATATCCAAAAATTTGGCCCTATTTGTGAAGGCCGGGGGAGCCCAAATTTTTTAAAATCTAAAAGCTTTTTAAAATTTTTCCCCATTTTTCACTAACGGTTTGGGGTTGTCTAATTTTTAAACTTTGGGAATCCCCCCTAGCGGGCCAGAGTTTCCCCTTTTTTAAAAACCCTAATTTTTAAATTTTAATAAAGTATGGCCATTTTTACCTTTAACTACGTATTGCTGGAAAAAAATTTCCCGTTTTTTCCACAGCAAACCCACAAAATTTAAACGAGGCTAAACTAAAATAGTTTAAATTAGCCCAAGCTGTTATAAACCCATTGTTTTTAATTTTCGTAAAAACGGGGCTTTTTAAAAATGGTCCAAATTTTTTCAGGCCCAAGTTCATTTTCGCTTAATTTGGGGGGAAAATTTTTTTGGGTTTTACAATTGTGAAGCGGGTTTTTGGAACAAGGGTTGTCCCCTTTTGTTGGGCCCCGGTTTGGGGGGGTTCCCTCCTTCTTTTGGGGGACTTTTTTGGATGTTGGGGGGTTAAAATTTTAAATTTTTAATTTGGGGGTTGGGGGGTTTAAAAGGGGGGAAGAATGGGGGGTGGAGAAGGGGGGAATTTGGTTTTTTTTGGGATTTGGGGGGGTTATTTAAAATTGGGGGTTTAATTGGAAGGGGTTAAAAAAGGGTAGGGGGAAATTTATTTTTATATTGGTTTTATGGGGGGTAAATTTAAATTTTGGGTTAAAATTCCGTTAATTGGGTTTTTTGAGGGGTTTTGGGTGGGGTTTAAAATTTTTGGGGGAAAATTGGAATTGGTTGGGGAAAAATGGTTGGGAAAGGGGAAGGGGGGAATTGGATTTTAAAGGAAAAAGGGTTGGGAAAGGGGAAAAGGTTTAGGGGTAATGGGGATTTGATAAAAAGAAGGAGGAAATAGCGAAGCGGTAGAACTTTGGGTCTGTCACTTTTTGAGAACACGGTTCGAGCCTTCCGTCCTTCTTTTTGTTTATTCATAGGCTATGTATGTTTATAAAAGTCATATTAATGTGAAGTACTAAATGTGTTGATGATTCAAGACGGTAATGAATGAATGGAGAAGACTTGATCCTCCATTTTGCGATGCTTACTCTAGTTGCTCTTAATTGATGTTAGAATAACTGATAGCATATTTATTTTAATCAACACTTGTTCCTTTCTGTTTTGGTAACACCTTCACTGCCTGGTAACACCTTCACTGCTTCATAACACTGTCACTGTGTCACAGCTGAGGGGTTCTTGAGTCCCGTTACATCTGAGAGGGAAGCCACTAGAGACATAGTAAGAAAGCTAGTGGAAAATGGCTTGGTAACCCGGAAAGAGGCTTCGCATTGGCTCTAAGGACATGGTGACCCAAGAGAAGGCTTTCCAGTGACACTGGGGACCTGGTGATACAAGAGGAGGCTTCCCAGTGACACTGGGAACCTGGTGACACAAGAGGAAGCTTCCCAGTGACAAACTCACCCACAGGCCTTGCAGCTGTCAACATTATCAAGAGTCAAGGTCAGCCTTACTCAGACTGAAACAAAATTTTAATGAAATTTACATGATTCTTTTATTGTTTATACATTATGAAACGTTATTAATTATGTGGAATAGTATGGCACGAAATACTAGTGATAATGTAGGCTAGGAACACAAAGATAGTAGTTGACCTTGTCATATAACTGCAGGATGTCTCTTAATTCTGAAAGTTAAGGGTAAAATAAGAACAGCAAACTCCATTGTAAACCTCCGTTGTATAATGAAATTTTTTGTATATGCGGCTTATTGATAAGTAAGACACATGTATCTTTATTCCTAAACGTGTCACCTAAACAGCAGACTTTTTCAGTCGAGCACAGAGGAGGTAGCAGAAGGAGTCGAGATATAATGAAGATGTAATCAGTCAATCACCTGAAGATATAGTGTTGAGGTGGTCAGTCCTGCAGCCTGGAGAAGAATATTGCTCCATAGTCTGGAACAATGTGAAGATAAAGCAACAATATAGAGATGTTATACTATCAAAGGTGAGGCGCTGACTAGGCTAAGGAACTGACTACCTTAAAACTACGTCTTCAAGGGTGATGGACTAATTACATCGTCTTTACATTTACTGCTTCTGTTGCTGCCTCTGTACTCGACTAAAGAAGTTTACTGTGTAGGCGAAACGTTTTGGAATAAAGTTACCTAACTGTTGGACATGTGTCTCACTATCAACTTGTCGGTATTGTTTATTGTTGATATATGCGACTCAAAAAGCTCATCCAAATTTAAGTAACAAGTGAAAAAGCCATCGTAGTACCTGGTGGTCAATTCCGGATGCCCTTTTTAACCTGCATTGGCAAGAAAACGCAATAATAGCTTCATAAGCGAGCGTAATTACATTGTCATTGTTCGTAATTACATTATTTCTGTACACATACAACTTCACTTTATAAACCAACACTGTAGTACGTATTACCATACCACACTCTCTCCCGTATATTAAACTGTTGCCAGTATCTAAGTGATTAACCTCTTAAGATATACCTGGTGTTTAATTAACCTCTTAATTAAGATGTACCTGGTGTTTAATTAACCTCTTAAGATGTACCTGGTGTTTTATTAAATTTTGAAAATAATATACCTGGTATTTTGATTTATAAGAAACCATTGATTCTGAGAAAATGGTGTTTATTTATATTGGCTTTGTTGAACCTGTCTGGTATGGGACTAGTCAGTTGAGAGTTGAACCTGGCTAGTAATGGGACTAGTCAGCTGAGAGATGAACCTGGCTAGTATGAGACTGGTCAGCTGAGAGTTGAACCTGTGGAAAATTAAATTTACCTGGATGTAACTCATCAGATACATACCAGTAAATGTAACAAAGATAATTATTTTTTATCAAAGTTACAGAGACAAGTAGGAATTTTAGGACATCTAGGTCACAAAAATGTCCCCCTTCGATACCTACTACTGTCATATCCACAAGTCACATCTTGACCTATATTAATTTCAAATGAAATATACATTACCAGGAATTATGGTAAACATTAATATAAATTTGTGGACTGTATGTTAATATTAATAAATGAATACATATACACATTTATATAACAGAAGGAGAATTTATCTTAATACCATTCACCATTTAGTCTGGAGATTACTGTGTATCATGTACAGAACCACCTGCCTAGGTTTTATGAAGAAAATACTGGCCAGAATCTCAACATAAAAGACAACTTAGCTGGGTTTCTGAAGCTGTCCTGTCCATCTGCTTAATGCTCACGTTATGCAGGACTGCAAACCCAACAATTTCGGCTCCTATTTGAGAGGTTTTAAGCCAATATAACCCCTAGAGCGACGAAAATTTATGCACATTAACATTAGCGTGCCTGTACCACATTCAAAAACAATGGCGTCTACCCCCTGCTCGTCAGCGCAGGCGCAGAGCTTCCTGTCGATTCTCTTCTTTAAAATACACTTTAGAACAATAGTAATGTATTAATCAAGTATATTTACATTATAAAAATATACAGCATAATTTTTGGGAAAATTATTTTCCACAGAACCTGTCTAGTATGGGACTAGTCAGCTGAGAGTTGAACTTGCATAGCATGGGACTAATTAGCTGAGAGCTGAACTTGCCTAGTATGGGACCAAACTGAGAGTTGACCCTGCCTAGCATGGGAGTCAGCTGAGAGTTGAACCTATATAACATGGGACTAGTCAGCTGAGAGCTGAACCTGCATAGTATGGGACTAGTCAGCTGAGTTGAATCTGCCTAATATGGGACTAGTCACCTGAGAGTTGAACCTATCTAGTATAAGACTAGTCAGCTGAGAGCTGAACCTGTCTTGTATGTGACTAGTCAGCTGAGAGTTGAACTTGCCTAGTATGGGACTAAACTGAGAGTTGAACCTGCCTAGTATGGGACTAGTCAGCTGAGAGTTGAATCTGCCTAGTATGGAACTAGTCAGCTGAGAGCTGAACCTGCCTAGTATGTGACTAAACTGGGTGTTGAACTTGCTTAGTATGGGACTAGTCAGCTGAGAGTTGAACCTGCATAGTATGGGACTAGTCAGCTGAGAGTTGAACCTGTCTAGTATGGGACTAGTCAGCTGAGAGTTGAACTTCCATAATATGGGACTAGTGAGCTAAGAGTTGAACCTGTCTATTATGGGACTAGTCAGCCATGAGCTGAACCTGCCTAGTATGGGACTGGTAAGCTGAGAGTTGAACCAACATAGTATGGGGCTAGTCAGCTGAGAGTTGAACCTGCCTAGTATGGTACTGATCAGCTGAGAGTTGAACCTGCATAGTATGGGACTAGTCAACTAAGAGTTAAACCTGCATAGTATGGGCCTAGTCAGCTGAGAGTTGAACCTGCCTAGTATGGGACTAGTCACTTGAGAGTTGAACCTATCTAGCATGGAACTAAACTGAGTTGAACATGCCTAGTATGGGAGTAAACTGAATGTTGAACCTGCCTAGTATGGGACTAAACTGAGAGTTGAACCTGCCTAGTAAGGAACTAGTCAGCTGAGAGCTGAACCTGCCTAGTATGGACTGGTCAGCTGAGACTTGAACATGCATAGTATGGGACTAGTCAACTAAGAGTTGAACCTGCATAGTATGGAACTAGTCAGCTGAGAGTTGAACCTGTCTAGTATGGGACTGGTCAACTGAGAGTTGAACCTGCATAGTATGGGACTAGTCAGATGAGAGCTGAACCTGCCTAGTATGTGACTATTCAGCCGAGTCGAACCTGTCTAATATGGAACTAGTCACCTGAGAGATGAACCTGTCTAGCATGGGACTAAACTTGAACTTGCCTAGTATGGGACTAAATTGAGAGTTAAACCTGCCTAAAATGGAACTAAACAGAGTTGAACCTGCCTAGTATGGGACCAAACTGAGAGTTAAATCTGCCTAGTATGGGACTAAACTGAGAGTTGAACCTGCCTAGTATGGGACTAAACTGAGTTGAACCTGCCTAGTATGGGACTGAACAGTTGAACCCGCCCAGCATGGGAATAAACCGAAAGTTGAACCTGCCTAGTATGGGACTAAACTGAGTTGAAGCCGCCCAGTATGGGAATAAATGGAAAGTTGAACGTGCATAGTATGGAACTAAACTGAGTTGAACCCACCTAGTATGGGACTAAACTGAGTTGAACCCACCTAGTATGGGACTAAACAGAGTTGAACCTGCCTAGTATGCACATAGTCAACCGAGATTTGCACCTGTCTAGTATGGGACTAGTCAGCTAAAAGCTGAACCTGCCTATTATACGACTAATCAACTGATAGTTGAACCTGTCTAATATAGGACTAGTCAGCTGAGAGCTGAACCTGCCTAGTATAGGACTAGTCAGCTGAGAGTTGAACCTGCCGAGTATAGGACTAGTCAGTTGAGCGTTGAACCTGCCTAGTATAGGTATAATCAGATGAGAGTTGAACCTGCTATTTAAGGGAGGCTATATGAAATCAATGAAGGGCTCTTGATCCAGAGAATCTGACCTAACTTCCCATTCCTTAAACTGTATCTGATTTACTGAGACTCTGAATTTCCCAAAAGATTTAGTGTGCCTCAAAATAATTATTATTTCCACTCGTTTTCCTGTGTGCTGTGTCAGTGAATTATTTTTATATATGCTGGCCTACAAATAGTGCAGCTGGCCAGCCTCATTGCAAAAAATGTGTACACAGCATCCTGCACACAACGGCAACAGGAGGGACTGTGCACTTCACAGCAGTGAGTGCACTTCACTCTGGGGACTTCCTTCTAACAGTTTCCATTTTGGCAATGAACATGTCTTGACCTGCAGATTCTCTGCATTGCTGTGTATCTCTGCCTCGTTGCCCAAATTCACATGGTATATAGCTGTATTTGCAGCTGTGCCCAAGCCGACCAATATGGTCTACATGCTCTGAACTGTCCCAACGTTAAGGGTTGGCATACAAGACATGATGAAGTCACCGATATCATCAAGAATAGCCTCATGTCAGCTGGGTGCCCGGCTGATAAAGAACACAGATTCCTAGCATACATTAATCCCCATAATCTAACTGCCCTGATGGCAAAGGCATAGTCAACATAAGTATCCAAGAAGATTTAAGTTAATAGAACAGCCCCTATGAAAACTAAGCTGCCAAAGGGAGAGAGAATTTAGTTTTCCAAGTACCACACTAAACGTTTGTTAACCAAACATTCCAACACTTTACAAATTGCACTATTAAGAGCAATGGTTCTGTAATGGGTGATGTCATGGCCTGAAGTACCTAGCTTATGATTATTATTATTCTAATCATGGGGATGCACTAAACCCATAGAATTATACAGCACCTGTAGGGAGGGGATGGAAGGTATTCAGGCTTAATTCAGGAACTGAAGCACAGATCCAATTCCCTAGATCATGCAAGAGCCCCTCACCAGTATCAAGGAACCTTCCTTGAGGGGTCCTAGCTTACGGAAAGGTAGGAACAATGGTTTCCTATTGCAGAGAATCCCTTGATACCAAACGAGATTGAAAAGGTGTAAGAGGATGACGAGTGACATAGGTTAAGTGTTGAAGTACACAGTATGGATGTCATCAAGTTCAGACTGTCATCAGTTTGGAAAGTGAACAGAACATCATAAAATTCCTTAATGTGAGAAGTAAACTCCAGAGCTGATTCCCTCACAAGCTTTGAGGAAAGAAATGAGGTAGAGAGGTGCCCTTCCAATATACTGATTGCTGTGGCACCCTCAACAGGATCTGCAATGCTATGACCAGCAACTGTAAGAATGGGAGCTAGGTCTGGAGAGTACTTGCCAGTCAACTCCCACATAATAAAAATGCCAATGGACATACAAGCCTGCCAACAAGTACATATTCATACCTATACATCACAACAAGCACACCCTCACCTGTTTCAAAACTAGAAACCTGCTGGTAGTTGTTGTAGTGGTAATGTCTCCACCCAGTGCATACCAAAAATACAACACAAGCACAGTCAGATCACTAGGGCACAGATTTGATAATACTTACCCCAAGAGAACTGCAATGGATGGTGGAGCAAGAGCAGAGATGCAAAAAGTTGTAATAGCTCTTCTATAAAGGACGAAGTAGAGAACACCAGGAAAAAGACTTAAGAATGAGAAGTAATGAGAAGAGGCAAATGATTGCTGATATGAAAATCAGGCACTACAGACCAGTCAAAGTCCAGTGCTACAGAAGAGCATACAGTGAGATCAATACAGGTCAGAGTACCAGTGTTTAAAACATGGAGAGGGAGAGAAGTGAGAAAAGCCTTTAATTCATCCCCACATAAGTCACAATGAAACCTTCCCCAGAGAAAATAAGGAGTGGCAGAGGTAAAGAATAAAAAGTAAATGAATGTCAGGAGAAAAGGGGCTAGAAGGAGAAAAAGATACGAATATCAGATTTTGTACAGGTTGTCCAAATAGACATGGGCAGCAGCATAATTGTGGAGTATGAATGGCAAGCTGATGAGTGCTGTCCTGCTATGTAACCTGAGGCCAGAAGTTTCTGGCAGTCAAATGTCAGTGTGGCAATGTTGCTTGTGTAATGCATCTGACTTTGGGTAAGCTGGATATAAATCTCCCTTTTGGTGACTCATGCTTTGGAGCTCAATTTG